AGGTCACTCTGGACCCTATCCCTACCCTCCAGTGTATCTACCTCTGCCCCCAGCTTAGCGTCATCTGTGAACTTGTGGAGGGTGAAATCCATCCCATCATCCCGATCATTAATAAAGACGTTGAACCGGCCCCAGGACCAACCCCTGGGGTACTCTGCTTGATACTGGCTGTGAACTAGACATCGAGTCGTTGATCACTACCCGTTGAGCCCAACAATCTAGCTAGCTTTCTATCCATGTTATAGTTCATTCATCCAATCCATACTTCTTTAACTTGCTGGCAAAAATACTGTGGGAGACTGTATCAAAAGCATAGGTAACTTTGTTCCTACATTTTCTTATTTATAAAATCCAACCTCAACATAGTCCTTGAGCCTGATCAAGTAGGCCTTTTTTGCTTGGACTAATTCAATTTCTCTGCCTGGTTCTCTTGCACCTGCTTGTAACATTCATTATTGAAAACAACTTGACCTACTTTTCATGGTTAGTTTCCAAGCACTCAAAATAAGGCTGTATTGTCACCACACCATTATCAATTCAATTTGATGCTAGCAGACATTTTAGTGCTTTGGCACCTAGATACATTGGTGGGCAACAAGACCACAGATTAGTTTTGCATCAGTTTTAATCCAGAATGATGGGATGCATGCTAAGAAGATCAAGCACGAGGGGTAACTGCATGAATACACTCATGCTTTACTTCCCTGAAATGGAAACAGTTCTGTGGCATGGAAGAAAGGTCCTTTGAGGAGCAGGGCCAGGAATCTGCAGAAAAAGATCATCACATGTGTTCACATAGCCATGACAAACTAAACTATTTAATACAACTAATGGATAAAACATACGGCTGAGATTCTGAAACCAGATGGAAGGCAAGATGACAACTTGCAGGCATCATGCAATTTCTTCTTCTGTTCACCACTTTACATTTGTTTTTTAAATACAAATACTACTTATTTGAGCAAGTTTGAATGTGATGTTACTAGTCAGTGGAAGAACATTGGGAAACAGACACCTAGAAATTGACATCGCAACTTGGGTCTGAGTACTGTTATAGGTTCTTACAGTGTTATACAGTACTCGTCAAAATAGATGAGAAGAGGGTTAGGTACCAGTAAGAGGAGGTTACTTATCTCTAACTGGAGGTTTTTCAAGATGTGTGATCCCAATTTGTATTCCAAACACGAGTGTGCATGCGTGCCATGCGCCGGAGCTGGAGGTTTTCAGCAGCAGTGTCTGTTGATACCCACGGGCATCTTATGTTGCCACGTGCTCCAGGCCAGGTTATAATAGGCCGTGTGGGCAATGCATCCTCAGTCAGCCTCTTACCTCTGATTAGGCAGTCCGCAGCAAAGGGGATGGTGAGCAGGTACTGGAATACAAATACGGACCACACATCTCGAAGAACCTCCACTTACAGGCAAGTAACCTCCCTCTTCTTCGAGTGATGTCCCTATCTGTATTCCAAATGTGGACGAGTATGGAGCAGTGACCAGCTTGGAAGTGGATGCAAGGATGCGATGGGTAAGGCTTGCTGCAGGATGGCACATCCCATGGCTGCCCACTGGTTGATGGCGTAGTGCTCTGTGAAAGTGTGGATGGAGCGCCATGGTGCCGCACAGCAGTTCTTGTACCAGGGGACATCTGACAGGGATGTGTCAAATTGGGCCCTCTGTTGGTGCCGAGGTGTGGCGGCAGCCGATGGTCATGAGCGGTGGGATTGGGGGCGCCAACAGATGGGGGTAGGGTCGCAGGAGATTGCCGGTGGTAGGGGACCAGAGTGTAAATCCCAAGGGACCGGAGGGTCGTCCTCAAGTCTTCTAGGGAGTGTAGAACATCATCTGTTTTAGCGGAGAACAACTTGTCCTTGTCGAAGGGGAGGTCCTGGATGGTGGATTGGACTCCCTGGGACACCCAGACGATTGGGGCCATGCTTCCCACCTCATCACCACTCCGATGGCCAAGGAGCAGGAGGATGTGTCCGCTGCACCTACCGTGGCTTGGAGGCCAACCTTGGCCATTAGGCAGCATCAGGCCAGCAGGGTAGGAACTGCTGATGTCTGTCTTGTGGGATGTCCTCCAGCTTGGCATAATTAATTATTAAAATCATACTTCACCGGCAGAGCCTGGTAGTTTGAGATGCGGAATTGCAGGGCCATGGAGGAATACAGTTTGTGGCCCATGAGGTCCAGATGCTTCGCTGCCTTATCTGGAGGAATGGAGGTAGAGGAGTGCTGGAGTGACTGTTCCATGGCTGCATGCACTATCAGGGAAAACAAAGGGAAGGAAAACAAAGTCAGCCCTGTTAGCCGGCATGAAGTACCTGCATACCACCCTCTTGGGCGTAAGGGCACAGGATGCCGGCTTGTGCCACACTGTTTGTGCGAGTTGCATGATGGCCTGAACAGGCAGAGCTACACATGCCAGTCCCCAAGGTTGGAGAATGTCCAGCAGTTGGTGAAGTTGGTTCTGGACCTCCTCCAGGGGAATGCCTAGGCTGAGGTTCCACCCTCTGCAGCAACTCCTGGTACTGGTGGTGGTCATCAGGAGGTGAGAGGTTCGGGGGGGGGTGGGGGGGGTCAGGGCCTTGTCTGGAGAGGAGGCAGCTGCCACCAGGACCGGTGGTACCAGGTTGAGCTCTGGATCCTCTTCCAGGTCCCAGTCAATCAGGTCCAGTGGAGGGGCTTGGGTGGGATGGTGTTAGGCCACCGATGAGTACGGCTGGTAATAAGGGCCCCACATTGGTGCCACGAGACCGGGTCCCGTTGGTACTTTGGGTCCCAAGTATATGACGAGTGTGCTTGTCGCTCATGGAGAACGCGGGGCATAATCCTTCAAGTTGGTTTGGTGAGGCCCTGTATGGGGCTAGTAGGTACACTAATTAATTACTTTATTTACAGGACTAAAATGAAAGAAGTAGAACTATATACAGACAGACAGTTGTTTTTGTAGATACTACGAGCATGTGAAGAGATCATTCCGACTCCAACCATGCGATAAGGAACTGAGGGTGCATCGCCCCACATGGCCTCTTAAAACCTCACCTGGAACACGTGGCAACATAAAATGATCACATGGGTCAATGGACACTGCTGTTTAAAATCTTCCAGCTCCGGCACAGGCACACCCACGTTTTGAATACATCAAGGGACCATCATGAAGAAGAATCCATATTTGCCTTTTATTTCTGTACTACTTTGATTTCCAGTTACATTTTTTGTACATACACAAAAATCAAAGTTCAAAAGAAAAACTTCATAGCAATAAAATGAGAGATTTCTTTTTTATATTACTTGAAAAGCAGCAAATTACAGTTGTTTATAATTTATTAGTACTGATCATATATGTGGGCATTTTTACAATAGTAAACATAATATTGACAAAAGAGAGCTGGTCTTCATTGCATTTGTAAGTGGCTTTTACTATCACGTTTTAGCACTGCCAAAAAGGTTAGCACTCCCAAAGAGAATTCTATTGTCCACACCAGATGTACAGGGACAAACAGCAAGAGAGAGATCTAGAAAGCACCTCCCTCAGCCTCCCCAAAGTACATTAAATCCCTCCTCAAAACCTCTCTCTTCTCTAAGGCCTACACATTCAGATAACGTACCTTCCTGCATACCCACATCTACAACCTACTTAAAGTTATCCCCCAGTGCATTCCGTTGGATTTTGCCTTAAACTGTAAACTCCTTGATAGACTAAAGGTGGAGGCTTGGCAGATCAGATTTGAAGGTACTTGTGGCCTCATGGAAAGTGGCCTGGGAACAAGAATGAAAAAGCGAAGCAAAGCATGAGGCCAGGTGTGCAGCTTTGGCAGACAGAGCAAAGGGAACAAAATAGGGCTAGCGAAAAGAGAGCAGAGAAGAAGGGATAGGCTAAGTTGCACAGGTCCTTCACCATGCAACAAGAGCTAAGAAGAAATGGAGTTGGCAGTCTCATTCCAGTCCCCAAGGACAAACATCTGCACCCCCCAGAAGCCATCATGGAAATTGACCCCAACTGGAAAACTTGTTGCTGACCTCAGCAGGGACACCAAGAAGTGAAAGGGAATGGAGAGTGAACTACCCTCTCAGCAGAAGGGTAACAGCTGAGGTACATTGACAGAGTAGCATAAGAAGTTTATGTTGTAGACATATGGTGCTGTACCAGTTTCTGGATGGAGGACTTCAGTCTTCAGAGTGCTCAATCTGGCAGCTATCATCTGTGGTAAATTCACACTCCAAATCTCTTTAAACAGACAATAAGCAGCTAACTAGTGGTATCTCATGATTTGATGCAGGAAATTAGACAGAAGGGGCTAGATCCCCATCTGGTGTTAACTGATACAGCCACATTGACGTCAAATGGAGATATGCTAGTTTAAACCAGCTGAGCATGTTGCCTAAAGTTTCAAGCTTGGTCACTTGTTCCATGGGTTGGTACAAGTGAGAATGTTGCAAAAGCAAATTTGTAGAACACTCACAAGCTCTTTAAGGTCTGAAATGTAAATACATAGAAAGTCTCCTTAAAATAAGGGGGCATTTGACCCACGAGATTATAGCTCTTCTTCTGGAGCTACTTGGTTTATTGTGCCAGTGAATACCTGCCATATTAGTCTCTTAAAGTCATAGCAACTCCACTGCCACATTTGTGTAATAAAAATCCTTCAAGAATCCGAGGACATTCAGCTACTGATGTGCTTTCCTCAAGTGAAATCTCATCTTTTCAATTTGTATATTTAGGTTGTTTTGCTAAATTTTGGTAAATTAAAAATACCAGATTTTATATCCCCGCACCTCAAGAAATACCTCACGTAAAGAACTGGCTCCCTAGCTGTCTTATCTGCCAGGATCCATTTAGACAGCATTGTTTACTGTTGTTTAATCACGTTTGAATAGAGAGTTTCATGACAGAAATATGGGCAGCCCACGACTGTTGCAATGCTAATCACATTGCTGTGATCCTTGCAAAAACTGCAGCTGGCGGAATTCCCATTTAAGCACATATACAATCACAAATCCAAATCACACAAGAAAAAGTTTATTGAAAAATAAAGTTCTCCCTAGTTCTCTCTACAACAGCAAAATCAAAGTGTAGTTCTATGCCATTAAAGTACACATTCAGACATTTACATATTTTTAAAGAATCCCATCCTAGTGAATTTCAGTAACTTGACAATACGTAACCAGCCATTGCAACTTGTACTATGTGAATCAAACCGCTTGAACCTAATATAGTGGAACACAACCATTCAGAAAAGCAAAGAACTAAATTTCAAGAGAGTTAAAAATGAAAACGTATAACGTGAGCCTGACCCTGAAGTTCTTGTGTACATGCAAATCTCCCACTGACTTCAAAATTTTCTGTGAACAAAGACAGCAGAATTAGGCCCTTCAAAACTCAAAATACTTCATTATAGTATTTAAATTTAACTTTTTATCCGCCCACCCACCTTTTCTTGAATAGCTTTAGAATCTTCCAGGTAACATTTCTGACCCTAGTAATTTCCTTTTCCATTTGGCAAATACTGCATTTCCTTGTTCCTCCCTGTATTTCGTAGGGAGAACAAACCAAGGGGGTTACTTTCTTTTATGGTCTCCAGCATCAATGATTACAGCAAAAAATTTGTTAATGAATGCAGCAAATTCATTCCTGGTATAACCCTACTGAAGCTAATGGAGTGGCAGCAGGGATGAATTTGGCCCTGTGTGTTTTGTACTCTTATGAGGCTTGACCACTCAAGGTGCTGCACACTCTCCCCCGATCTAACAGAGCATTTAACGTCTTTAGCTTTAAGCAAATGGGTAGGCCCAATCAACTCAATGAGGATATTCACTTACTTAAAGCTAAGCCATTGCTTTGTTAGATCAGGACCAGTGTCCAGCACCTTGAAAGACTGAATCCTTCATGCACGGCCAGGGGAGAGTTGGAGTGGATTTGGCCCCATGCTTTGTAACAGTGACACCAGGGGGTTAGAACTTCCAGTGTGATGCAAACGTCTCCTCTCACAGAAATCAATGGACACATTGCCATTAACTTCAGTCGGAACAGGGAGGGGTCCATAATATTGCAATGCTGCAACATGCACCCTTATGATCCTAAAGAACTCGTGCACATGAGTAGCTTTACTCACCTGGGTAGTCCAGGTTAGTGCTGTTGGACATACAGTATCAGTCTAGAGCACTGCTAGTATTAATCTCTCTGCAGACAGCAGACGGAAGGCCATTGCAGATTTTATAGTAAGTGGATTTTTAAAGCAGGTTCTGTGTTTGGAATGTTGAGGTTATTCCTATTTTATTAGGGTTTAAAGCAGAGCAGATACTAGGTCTTAACTATTTGACAATGTGACATTAATTAAGTTAATGTTGAATTCTTGAAGGGTTGGAGTGGGTCTGCTGACTCACAATAGTATTGCTGTTTTTAAAGAGTATTAACATAAAAGGACTTAAATTAAAATGAAGCCATGTACAAGTATAAACATGAGGTTTGTGGTAGCTGAACTGTGTTAAGACATTAGCTCTGTGAACAAGGATAGGATTGATAACTCAACGGGAGACAGCCAAGCTTCAGCCATTTGCATTTGCTATACATTTCCTACAGTCTGCACTCTGCTCAGGAGCCAGTTTGCTGATCCTGTGGACACATTTTTATTCTATTAGATAGCATTATACTGAAAAGTTTCAAACAAATTGAAATTTTTTTTTCTATAAAGCAGTTTAAAAATATGAAGGAAAAGACTTGGTTCAATAATAGATTTTAAAGCAATATATATTTAAAGGTTGGATTTACAGCAACAGTTATTTAAAGGCCTCCTAAGCCTTCCCTGTTCTTGTTCCAAGCAGACTGATGCCAATTGAAAATCTCCTTGATTGGAACCGCCTCGAGGACAGTGGGACAAAGGAGAACTAGAAGTGGATGTAGCTCTGCTAATCAAGAGATAAAAGTGAAGTGGCTGTGGCCCAAATATCACAAAGCCATGCCAATATTTGTGGCCGTGCCAACAAAACTAGTACATCTGAATAAAATCAGAGCTACAGCAACAACTCATCACTCACTTCCCACTGAAGATTGTCATAATAGGAATCTGTCATCTGCGTTTTTCTTTAGAAACTGAATTCCCTATCCCCCCCGGTGAATGGATATTTAAACAAAACTTCAACCTATTTAAAATATTAAATTATATACATTTTTAAATAAACGAGGTGTCATGGCAGAAAGATACATCATAGCAGTGAACAATTCAGAACCATTTATGACTGATAGATGCGCAAGAGAGCCTATTGTTGATAAAAGTAACTTAAAATGTGAAACCTTTATCCCATTTGAATCAAACTGTTAATCCCGTTAATCAAACTGTGCCTCCTGTTTATTAAAGGGAGTAGCTGCTTTCTTAATTTGAAGAAAACAGAATGGAGTTGGTGGATGCAAAGGCTACCAGAATCTGATCCAGCCTCCTTTCAAGTCCATTCCACCATTGACTTTGACGGGAACAGAATCTGGCCCTAAATGCACTGTGAGCCAGACATACTTGAGAAAGCAATTTGGGCTTGTATATATTAAAAACACAACTCTAAGCTTCCAAATCATCTATGTAACTTGGGTAAGTCAGCCATGTAAAAGGGCAGGGCACACTAGCAGTTATGTTGCACTGTATTGTGCATTTTCAAAGTGGAGTACAAGCTAAAATCCTCACACCACCAGGCTGAGGTATGCAAGCACAATAGGTATTAGAAGCTGTATTGTACAGAGGGAAAAGAAACACAGGTTAATGACCTGATTTTCCATTTGAAGTCAATGGAAGCTGTGGGGGCTATGTACCTCTGGAAAAAAAATCAGGCAATAAATGACTTACAAAATGATGCAGAAATCAGTGATAGAGCTGCAATTGGAACCTAGGAGTTCCTGGCCCCCGTTTCCAAGGTTAGTCCTCTAGATCATGCTACACTGAAATTTGATCATAAGCTATTCAAAATCTCCTTTTCCTGCAGGAAAGACAAACATTTCTAATTCGCCAAGAGCCTGCCAGGCACTGAGTACCCCGAGTTCCCTCTCACTTATGGACTCTAATTGCATAAAGTCAGATACCCATGAAAAGCAAACGATTGTATTCTGGCTAGTAGTGCCAGCAAATGAACAAAACATTTTCAGGCACCCAGACTCATGCCTATCTTATATATTCCCATTACTGAAGTATCTGAGTACCTCACAATCTTTAATGTCTCTCTCTCATTTCCTTAACAAACTCACATTTGGCAATTTTAATAGCTATTTCCAGCTCTTCATTGTCTTCTTGTGGGGCAGTGTGGATCTATTTTGGTCCCAGGTCATTAAACAAGAGAGCTATGTTTAAATATTGCATTCCAATGCACTATCTTCCCATCAGACCACACATATTCAACAAAAGATATTACATTAACAATGGTGATTCTTTGCAAAGAACCAGTTATATCTTTTCCTTCATATTTCTAGACAACTTTTCTCTGCTATTTAAAAAACATTTTAGAAGTCACACTTAGTATTTATATAGCAACAAGGCCTTTTTTAAAACCCTAAAACCAGTGTTCCATTATACTTGTTCACACAGTGCCCACATTCCAAACATACATCCAAAAATAAAAAAGGCACATAAACATTAAATATTTGCAGAAGTAACTTAATGACATTAAACAAAACACACAATTGTAACTAATAAATTACAAAGAGAGAAACAAAAGACACAACCATAAAGAAAACTAAGCCAAATATGCAATAAGCGTATCTAGTTGTACATGTGCAAATCAACTTGCATATATGAAATAAATGAGGTTTTTATTGGCATTTTTAAACAGTGTATATTTACCAACTTTACCTTTCAAAGGCAAGCCTTTTATGTTAACTTTAATAAATTATGTAAATTCTTTTCTCAAGTTTTCTAATCTCATAGGAATAAGATTTTTCAAAAATCAGGTCACATACAAAAAATACAAAAGTTTAAAACAAAAGAATTTTTTGATTTATGACGGATATGTTTATGAGCTTATAATATGGTTGTTATACTTCAGTTTTGACACACCTGATTTCCATCAATTACAGGTCAGTGTATCCAAAATTAATTCTTGCAAAAACCTGAAGTCTGAAAAAGGAAGTGCGAGTTTCAGTGACAAAGTAAAATACATACATTAATGCAATCCCATCTTATAACCAATCATTCTTCCACAAAGCCATCATTCAAGTGCAGTATGTGGACTATACATTTATTATTTAAGTAAGAGGGGAAAGATTCAGCTTAATCATGGAGTTTATGACAGAAGATTGTGTGTCCACGTTTTAGAAAAAATGGGCAACAATCTAGTTCAACAATTTTAGTGAATGATTCATAATTTCTAAAATAATACCCTATCATCTGCCTGAGTGCTTACTTGCAGAATGGAGTATTCAGTTGTACAAGAACCCACTGGCTTATAAATTTAAAGACTATTACCACAGGAAAAAAAAAAAAAAACTAAAATGTTGATAGCAACTTCAGTTTTTTTCTATCCAATAAGTCTTCAAGGCAAGCAAAGCAGAATTTGAAAACAAAGAATATCCATATGTAGAAAGTTATCTCCCATGATCTAACATGCTTCTCTCTTTCAGAAAATAAAACTGAAGCTGCACATTGTAAGAGTACTTTTCCATTTGAAAAGAGAACTCAGCATCTTCAAGGTTTAGACACAACAACAAAACAAAGTCCTTGGAAATGTCTCATATTGGGCAGGACTTTTGAAGGGAACAGCAAAATTCCCAAAATTCTCTGTGGGAGTAGGATGTAGCCCTACTGAGTATGCCCCCTTCCTCCCTCCAAAAAACAACAAAACAAACAAACAAACAAACAAAAAACCCACATTGATTTCTGCTACTGGAAGGAGCTTAACAGTTTTCTCTCCTCCTCCCCCCCCCCCCCTTCCTCCAATATACAGTAACAAAATTCAGTAGCTCAGAAATAAACATAAATACTATAGATATCATAGCTCCCCCTGCTGTGGTAAAGACTGCACTGACAGCACTATATTACTGAACAACACAGTGCATCAGAGATGGCAGTATCAACAAACTAGCAGAAATCCTTTATCCTCAGTTTTTAGAGGCAAAACAAATTGTATTATGCCATGTGTTCCATACAATGGTAAGAAACAAGCAAGTGTGTATTTACAGCTTAGTGCCTTTTTTTTTAAAACAGCAAATGTTTTCTAATTGTTATATTACAGTAGGCAATGGTGCTTTGGATTGTTTAAGCACGCACGCATGCACAAGTCTTTATTGCCAATGTATGATGTGATGTTCCATCTAACTTATTATATTTCTGATTACAGAAACTCAGGTTGCATCACAAAAAGGCAGATTCTGTTGTCACCAATAAGTTAATGCCAGATATAAGGCCCAAATTGGTGCACATATTTTCTTTAAAGCCTGGGATTCTTCTGGCTGCACTCGTATCATATGTACAGGAATATGGAGAACACCTAAAATGAACTGTTGAGGCACCTCAGATTCCAATCCTAAAAAAAGCCAAGAATCAGAGTTCCCTGGATATTAAAAGCCAATGCAAACAACATCCATGCTGACCGAGGGAATGCCTGCGACACTCCCAACAACTGCTCAATTTCTTTTCATACAAAACTATGCCTAATATGTAACCAGTTATGTTCCATTTTTGTAGAATTATTGCAATTACAGAAGCTTTACTATCATTACATCCCAGTTATTATTGATAAACACTGCTGCACAGGCACCATATATACTTTCTGGATACTCAATCATTCAGATACCAATTTCTATCTAGTCTGCAGTACGTGTTACATTGTGTAACAATGAAATGGGAGTGTTGAATTAGGGAATTTAAACATACTTGAAATTACACTCAAGTTGGAAACTGAACTTTTACTTTTCTGTTAATTTCTCTTGATAATTTGACAGTTTCTGTCATGTTTCCCTTATTTGGTCTTTGGTAGGTCATGAGAGACTTCAATACTCTCACACAGATAATGAATGACAGGTATAAAAAATGAGTGAACCTGGTATATTCTAGAGAAAAATATTAAAGTGCCTATACTTTCATTAATGGAGAGACTGGGTAGTGCTTGTTAAATCTTTACAAAGAAAGGAAAAAAAATCAAATTGAGGTTTTTCAGTTATGACTGGGAAATACTCAAGTTTTAAACTTGCAAGCTATGGTCTTTTTCAAATCCTACTGCAGACTAAGCAATTCATTTCCCTCTAATTTAACGTAACTTTTCCCAGCCACGAACAGTGCTTTCAAACATGTCAGCTTGTGCTGCAAAAAAATAGAAATTTACTCTTAAAAAAAAAAAAGATACGTTTTACTATTTCAAAAGATTTAGTTCACTGTTCTAAACAAGTCTGAATTTCAATTCAAACTCTTGGTAATTAACTGTAGTTTTTAAATATATCACTGGCCCGCCTATTTAAAAAAAGGACAAAGAATCCGGAAAAGCGATCAACAATATTTTTCTTAAGAAGTTTTCCTTCTCTCATAATTGCTCTTTAAAATATCTTCCTCTTTAAAAGCAGAGCTTGTTATGAAGACCGTTCACATTCCTATGATACAATAATGATAGTTAGTTGATCCTGTCTCCATCTTGCAGTAATGTTTTAAGTACTGTAAGATATAGCAAACTGAGGATCAAACCATATTGCTCAAATGATGCGGAATACTTTTTGCTTCACACAGTACTTTGAATAGGCAGACAACAACAGAAGCATGGGCAAATTCCAAGGATCACTCTCTAAACAGACCCAGTCAACTGATGACAAGTCCATTCTAAAATGGCCAGAGTATGCCACAATCATAATCCGTTCTCAAGCAACAACAGGATTTGTCACACACTGGCAGCCACTGATCCTCACATGCCCAGAGCTGCCTGTTTAGAGTGCTCCGGTACAGTAGTTGTGATGCAGACGGTACCTTGTAGTATGTGAGGATTTGAAAAAAGGACTGGGAGCAGGCAGCTATCTATTGTTATTTGTGTTACCTTATGGTTCCGAGTTCTTGTGAAATGCACCATTTTATAGCCATTCAAGCTGCAGCAGCACCCAAAATAGTGCCCCAATAATAAATGTAGTCCTCTCCCCCACCCCCAAGCGCATTTTTTTCCCAATTTTGTACTGGAATGATGTTCATATTCTTAGCTGATGACGACGGGATGTTTTAACATGTTAAAAAAATAGAAAACACTTGTTTCATCCAAAACACAACAAAAAAAAGTTTGATGGGTCTGGGAATTTTCTATAAACTGTTCTTCGCCATGATCTCCAAATAGTTACAAAGCATGGAACGTCATTTCTCTTCTCCTTGAGTAGGTGGAAGATTTCAAAGAGCTCCACTGCAAGTGTTCACTTAGAAAAAAAATAAAAATCATTTCAATTATGAATCCCTCTTCTCAGAGAATTCCGCTTGGCAGCATTTGCTCAGCCTGCAGCAAGACAACTGGACAAAAGTGCAGGAAGTATAAGTAGTTCTCTCAAAACCACTTTGTTTGTCCCCAAACTAAAGCAAGGTGCTGCTGCTGCTGCTATAGACAATCTTTACAAAGTGCAACCTGTCCCTTATTATAGTCTCTGCAGGGGCAGATTCGTTTGTGGTTTGGATGGGATCCTGCACAGCTGAACAGCAAAAGATCGCCCTGAAAAATGCAGTGTTTCCTGCTTTCATCAAAAGATGGGACCACGATATCATTTGCAGATTCAACAGTATGGCATTCCACGTTATACCTATAAAAGCAAGACACACTTGTCTAAGTCACATTCCCATTATTCATTTATAGTAATTCAGGGAAATAATTTTCACCCCCAAGACTACACTCCTAAGACTACAGCCGTACTATAAAAAGCCCAAAAAAACCTGAACTAGAGGAGTAATTAAATCATACCATGATATTACACTACACAGTTTCCAAGTAAATACTCAGCCAAACAAAAATAGGCTAATATAGATCATATAGTAACTCCTGGTTTATAGCAACAGACAATGGGCATAAACAGAATATTAGTCATTTTACTTTCCAAGTTTCCGATAATAGCAACCCCTATTCTGCCTATTGGTGCTGGAAATTGATCAAGGTTTATGATGCTAAGCAGCAACATAAAATGCTTTCATCCCATTAGGAGTCTGGCTCTGTTCCTACAGAAAGGTAAGCTGGAAATGTTAAGTATTAAAAAATAATAAAGAAGTTTCAAACTATGTTAAACTGACAAGCCTCAGAGTCCTGAAGAAATGGGACTGGTTTTGTGATGTGCATCCCTACCTTTTTATTGCACTGAATTGTGCAGGGATAGGAGAAGCTGAGATTGGTTTGTTTCATGAAGTCTTTAGAACTTTTTGTCAACAGTACATGTAGCAGAATGTATGGGTGTTAAATTGGGAAGCAGTCAAGAATGAGGGATAATCACAATGCAACAAAACTTTTTCAAACAACATTTTTGATCTTGTGGTATGAATTGGAAGACATCCAGTCTAACATTCCTCCTAGAAAGTTTCTTTGACTGCCTCTCTAGTTCTCCATTTCTCACTCTCCATCTTATTCTCAGTATAGAATCCATCTGTCTCATTTGCTTCAGCCTTCTCTGGACATGGTACATCATTACTGTACCTCCTTCTACTCAGACTATATTACCTATGAAATGCTCTCAAATCTTTGCTATTTGTCAGATAAAATACTATAACCCAAGATGGGCAAATTTCGTCTGCTGAGTATCTCAACTCTTAATGAAGATTGGACCAAAAAGGTGCAATATTTTCAGTGGACAATTATTCAGAACGAGCAATTGCAGACATCAAATGCTAGTCAGCATGCACAGTTATTTCCTGTAACATAATCCTATCTCTGCTCTGATTCTGGTTTAATCCAGAAATGTAAAAAGCTATTCTTCTAATTTATCATCAGACTTCTCCATTGGGGACATATTTTGCTTACATTAAAGTTGTATTAGCTTTATATTGCATCTTCCATGCAGACAAAGATCTGTAAGGGAGCAATTTTTCCACATTTAAGCACAGTATAGACCAATTATAGCTGGATAAATACAGTAATAGGGCCATTCTGCAGAATTAACTGCTCAGAAGAACTGCAATTAGGATTTTCTCTCCATAAAGTCTCAGTCAGACCAGTGATCCAGAAATAAAAACCTTTGTGTCTCATTACCAATATCCTGATCCAACCAATCATCTTTCGTAGTACATAAAAGTATCAAAAGCATTAACATAAGTGCTTTTTTCATTTTGTTTTGGCAATACATAATTCAGATGTTGGCTTCTTTCCAATCAATGTGACCAGGGTCATTTCTCTACAGAGGGCCTTTCCCATTATATTTGATCAGAGGGGAAGTAAGCTGGTACGGTCCGGTATGGCATACCGGCAAGAGCCAGTACACCATGCCGGACCGCACCGGCTTCCGCGGCGGGGATTTAAAGGGCTCTGGGCTCCCCACCGCATCGGGGAGCCCAGAGAACTTTAAATCCCACTCGCAGCTCCGGTGCCCGGGCCGGGATTTAAAGGGCTCGGAGCTCCCTGCCGCTGTGGGGAGCCCCGAGCCCTTTAAATCCCCCCTGCAGTTCTGGCGGTCAGGCTAGGGCCGGGATTTAAAGAGCTCAGAGCTTCCGCAGCTGCGGGGAGCCCAGAGCCCTTTAAATCCTGCCCGCAGCTCCGGCAGCTGGGCTGGGGCCGGGATTTAAAGGGCTCGGGGCTCCCCACAGTGGCTGGAGCCCCGGGCCCTTTAATTTGACCCTGAGCCCCGGGGGCTCCCAGCCACCTCTGCAGCTGGAAGCCCCGGGTTGATTTAAAGACCTTGGGGTTCCCAGCCACAGCTGGTGCCCCAGGGCCTTTAAATCTTGATAGGCCCCGCCTCTTCCGGTTGAGGCCACACCTCTTCCGGCAGTACCGGTAAGTCCTGTAAGTTACTTTCACCCCTGTATTTGATCATGTTTAAGGGGGGGAGGGGGGATTTGAACGGTCTTACGTCATGTCATACTGATTAGTACCTAATGTATGAAACAGGAAAAGGCTTGGATCATATTCATTTAGCAGCATTCAGGTGTGTGTGCATAAAATACAGAAAAAGGACAAGTCACCCATTTTCTGGCTGCAAAGCTGAAGTAATGTGGTTACCACTGAAAAGTCAGTTGGTCACTCAAATACCACTGTGTAGTAACAGTTGGTATTTTCCTACGCTGAGGCCAAGAAATAACTGTGATAGGTTAGATACCACTATGAATAAATGTTAACTATTTAAACAATGAGCACATTAAGTGTTTATTTTTAGTCATTCAGGAAAGACAGCTAATTTTCAGAATCCAACAAAAAATGATTCTCTTCACTGTTTGGTCTAGGCACCTCAGTATTTTAAGCAACCCTAAGAGATGGAAGCAAGACAGCCTGTCAACAGGATAAAAAAAGTTTTACATCTGTGTGGCTCTTTTCAGTTTCCAATAGAAGTTGCATAGCTTCAACATTCCTTGAATACATAAAAGGCACGTTTGTGATAAAATCAATAGGAAATAGGACTAGCAAACCTAGACAGCAGACTTCCTATTAGTCATCTGTTGCACTGCAATTTCTGAATACATTTGATTGACATTGTAAAGTGATCATTTTACACACATACACGCAGACACCTGAAAGTAATGCTGATTTCCCTAATGCAGAAGTGGTAAGCATTCTTAATTGACCCTAACTTATCTAATGAAAAGGGTTCTGGAGCCTACATATTTAGGACACTAGTGAGAAAGAGTTTGCAGAAATGCTAATTGTTAATTGCCAATGAATATGGGTGTTTCAGGATTAACTGGAGTCAGAGAGAGCAATATGAAAAAAATATGAAGATAAATACAGCTTTATAAACATTTTTATTTACAATTGCATGAACAATTGCCTCAAATCAGCTCTTGTATTATCAGAGGGGTAGCCGTGTTAGTCTGAATCTGTAAAAAGCAACAGAGGGTCCTGTGGCACCTTTAAGACTAACAGAAGTATTGGGAGCATAAGCTTTCGTGGGTAAGAACCTCACTTCT